GCTCCTCTACGTGGACCCCCGGCTGCTGCGCCATAGCGCAAGCCACCACAGCAGCAACTCGAAGCATGGCAATCGATTCGATTGGCAATCGAAATCCCTGCGAGTCTTGCCACCCACCAACTCAGCAAATACTGCGGGCAACGAATGTCTGCAGAAAAGAACTTGCAAACGATAGAGAGTTAAGCAAGGCCAGACTGGAACGAATGCCAAATAGATGTACAGAAAGCTTAAGCAAAAAGACACAAGCCTCTGAACATCCATGTTTTTCACTGTTTGCTGCTGTCCTCGCAAATCACACCAGAGTTGGTGCGAGTTCTTTGTGCAAGGATTATGCACGAAAAGATGTGCAGCTATCTAGTGGGCTGGTGGCTTTGGAAGTTCTTACCAAGTTTGACAGTAGTTTCCAAGCCCGCCCTTCACATCGCGGCAGCGGCACCCTAAGATGCAGCATGTTCATGCAGGCTGAATTCACAGCTCCAGGAATTGTGGCATCTCTGTCCTTTGCGTGTGTATGCCTGCAAATGGACTCAAGTCAAAACAATGGAAGAAGCCTCCTCTGTGCTGCAAACCAACGAGGCTGCCTATGACGCAAAGAACCATTTGCAGGCCAACCAGCTCTCAGCTCACCCAAAGGATCCCAAAGAGTACCACCAAACGGTACGATTGTGACCGTGAAAACACTGTACCTGCGCAACGGGGCGCACAAAGCAGGCCCCAATTAAGTCATGCGACACCAAAGGTGGGAGAAGACACGACACCAATCGATTTGCGCATCTGGAGACATGGGAACTCCCAAAACATTGGACCACAATGCTCTCTTGGTAAGAGGAACCATGCGGAATGATGAGGAACCTGGAAGACTCGTTGGGTAAGCTCACGGAGCTCAGACATGGATCTCCTCCAGGCGTCGGTTGTCAGCCCAAATCCCATCATCCTCATCCTCATCGTCATCTGTCTGTCCGAAGGTTGAGCCCAGGGTTCCAACCTCCATGCATCGGTCGGGCAATGAAAGTCTAGAAGCACAGCATGTCATAGCAACGCATGTCCTAAGTTGGAGGCCCTCGCTATTAGGAGCAAGGACGCTACTAGGAACAAAGGGCATCGCTACTAGGAACAAGAACCCTACTAGGTTGGAGGCCATCGCTTGTAGTTTGTGCAGCCTTGATCTTGCTGTACTTGACACGGGCGGTTGGATACTTCTCCCGCAAATAAGCAGGCTTTCCCGTCGTAGTGAGGCAAGTGCCGCGGTTCACACCTGGAGTCGATGGGTCCTGCAATTTGATTGCTGAGACTCCCAAAAGTTCACAAACGCTCTGCCATCAAGATGCAAGCTAGCATTTCGGAAACATCAGGCCGTGTGATTTGAGACACTAAATAAAAGAAAGAAAAGGAAATGAAGCAAAACGAAAGCACCATATCCATGTCCTTGTTCGGTGGGTAGTTGGAGTCCAGCCAGAGCATGTTGGCTTCCTTTGCTCACTCCAACTGCCACCACCCAGCAGATCCGGTCCGACTTCACAAGTCACAAGCTATATATAAATAGTGTACAGTTCCTCCTCCATGCTGCCTAAGGCTCCGCATCATCCCACAGCGACATGACCAACACTACTCCTCTGTCCAAGGCTTCTCCCATTGCCTTCAACCCGCCGTGGTGCGTGAAGTCATCGATATCTCCAAAGGCCGTCTGTGCAGGTGCAAAAGATGGCGAAAACAAAAGCTCTACACACTGCTTGAAGAGTTACATACATGCCGATTTTAGTCTAAAACAAAATTATATATATAAATACGTATGTATGTGGGGGGAGGGTATTATGAGGCTGTCTTGTCAAATGACATAATATATATATATATATGTATCAGGAACTAAACTCACCAGCAATGAAACAAAACGATAGGGAGGCAGAAGACATTCTGTCTGTTTAAACACTTAGGACCTAAGCAGGATGTATTGTATATCTATGTGTGTATATATACATATGTATATATATTAGAAGAAACACCATGCTTATAGTTTATAGGGTTCCAAACAAATAGAAGAAACCCATGGGCAGTATCTTCTAAAAAAGGGCAGCGTACTATAGAAGGATACTGAGTTACTGGGTTGTTTAGAGATCCTTCCGAGAAAAGCACCTACAAGGTTCTCAGAACACAAGCGAGCAAAGGGCCTTAGCAAGTCACAATGCAATGCAATACCAAGAAGGGCAACAATGTCATGGAGGTCCGACCGTGTTGCCGTGCAAGCCGTGGCAGGTAGTGTGGATAAGCCCCTAGTAGCGTCCTTGCTCCTAGTAGTAAGGCCAGGAGCCCCTAGTAGCGTCCTTGTTACTAGTAGCGATGCCAGGAGCCCCTAGTAGCGTCCTTGCTCCTGGACCTTCTGACATGGATGTTGTTGGAAAAAACAAGTATTGAAGCCAACAAAGACCATGGCCGCATGGGAAGCACTTAGGACGATGACCCAGGCGGGGAAGTATGAATTCAAAACACACACCAAACCGGGACAAGTGTGTCTTAGCATCAGCTGAACAGCAGAACTATCAGTAAAGAGAACACCAAATGATTGCCCCTGCAGAAGGACAATCTTCGGATGAGAAGTTGGGGCAGCTAAAGGGCATTCCCTTATGGGAACTTAGAGGAACTCAGTTACTCAGTTACTCAGCTTTTCTTGCTTTTCTTGTCATGTCCATGGGATTGTAGCTTGGCCTGCAAACCAACAGCTGAAAAGTCAAGCCGGCCTGCCTTCATGTCTTTGCAAACCTTGTCTGTAACGGAATCGCCTGTCACTCCGGCAATGGAAATATTCGAGTTGGGAATGACCTTGCCGTCTTGCACGTAAAACCGCCTGATGTCAATCAAATCCCCATCATCTCTGTTTCCTTCAGTGATGAATTGGGTCACAATTGTCATCTTCTTCCTGACGGCATTTCTGTGGTGGAAAAACTAGCAATGCTGGCTGATGCCACGACTACCTACCACCAACGACATTCATATAGAAGGACGCTACTAGGAGCAAAGGGCATCGCTACTAGGAGCAAGGACGCTACTAGGGGCTCCTGGCTGTACTACTAGGAGCAAGGACCGCTACTAATCATTAAAGCTCCGTAACCAACTGCTGCAGCGACTCCTGCTGTTGACGGCGAAGCTCTTGCCACGACCATAGTATTCTTCGTCTCCCAAGCGATATGAATTGAAGTCGCAGCCATCTTTGTCGCAAACTCCATCATAGCGCTGCTCCTGCAGTCATTGAACCTTTGTTCAGTCTGAACATGTCTTGTACCTACTGTGGCTGACCACCAAACGGTCCGATCATTCAGGTTTTATTGTTTGCACAAAAAAAAAAAGGACAATCCGACAATCCTTCTCCAACTCCAGCCACCCTCTGCCAAGCTCACTCTCCACAAACTCGTAAAAACATGAACAACTCTCCTTGCTGTTGTCACCGCATTCAATGCCTTCACAAGTATACGGGCCAGTCAGGGAGCATGGGTGGGGTGTGTATGCTGTTGCCTTTGAGTTCGCCTCCCAAATATCCATCTCCGCACAGCAAGCACCCCATTTGCCAACAGGAGGGTTGTGGCTCGCATTCCATCCAAGCACGTTTGCTTTGCCTGGCAGCGTTTCGAACACCGGCCCCTGCAGTCTTACATGTCTTGCATAATGTGAGGGCTCTGGAAGGGGCGGGTGCGAGCAGTACCCATGGCTGCAGTACCCATGGCTGCTTACTACGGTTTCAGAGCAAACTCTAAGCCTGGGCCTAGGCTATACTGGTGCAACTGCATAAGATTCAAAACACCCAGTGTAAATGTCATTTAGCACCTCGACGATGGATTCAGATTGGGTAACCGTTGCAAGATGCTCATTTTACCAGGCTGTCCTAATGGTCAATCAACTAATTATGTTCAACATAAATCATAAATGTCTGATGAGGCCCTTGCGAGAACACCTCTAGTGAAAACATCCCACCTTCCATGAATTTCATGTCGTGCGGACATTGAGCATCGCAATACCCAGTGCCAAATTTTGCGCCAGCTTGGTTCGAACCACCAGCGGCTGCTGCCCGTGCTTGCCCACCATCTGCATCCATTTCCACAAAGTATACTGCACCGTTGAGACCACAAGGCATGAAGAACATGTCGGCAGACATCGTGAACTCCCGGTTCTTCAGCTTGAACATCTCATACTTGTCCGGCCCGTCTAGCATGTAAATGCGGGAACCGAAGTTGGAGCCATACTTGTCTTTGGTCACGAAGTTTAGCTGGATGCCATCATCGATCTCTTTGATCCCATAGGTTGACTTGTACTGCTTCTCTGAGTTGCCTGGAAATGGTTTACAATTATACTATTGGATGTGTGCCAAGTTGCAAACAGTACAAACACGGCCTGCGCACACATGTTGCATTTTGACATACGTCGTATTGGTGAACCGCATGTTAACCTTGCTGCTTCACTTCTTTCTCCCCGCCTTCCAAATGGCAGTTCTCTGCACATGCCACTGGATCTGGACACAAGGTTGTGTCAAAGTCACCATCCTTGTAGCAGTTGGTGTACTCACCATTGTGAAGCCAGCGCCAGTTCGCATCCAGGACCACGCTTTTCATCTTCTTGGAGCATCCCGAACTGTCACAATTCCACAATGGCATTTTCGGGTGATACTCCTGTCAAAAATGCAGGTGTCAGGGTCGAACAGGGTTTCTTACACATGTCATAAGACTAGTGACTAGAAAACCACATGACTGGCCTAGGCCTTCCAGCCTCAGGCAACAGTCACACAGCCCGTGACTCCTCCACATGAACACCGCCTTGCTGCGCCCAAGCACAAACCACCACACTGGCAACTCGAAGCATTGCAATCAAACCCTCGCTTTCCTTCTTTGCACTGACTCAAAATTCTGAGCCTATGATGCGGACAAAGGACATGACCCACATGATTGAATAGTCTATTGCCATGGTTGCAACAATGCCAAAACTGCAAATCACTCGGCGGCCGTCTCCCCCACACAGTCCGGTCTGTCGGCAGTTCCCACCGTCCTGATGTTCCACGGGAACATCTGGCAAGGACAAGGCAAAGTCTGCCAAAGACTTCACCAGCACTCGGCGCCTGCAAGCCGAGCAGCACGTCTTGGGAAAGAATACGCAATCTGGGCAGCGTGATGTATCCCCCATAACGAGAGCCGGAATTGGGGGGGTACCAAATGGTGGTTGGGCCTCAAAAGTGTCTGGGTCATTTGGTTTTGACAACATGGGAAAATATGCATTCCTCAAGTGAAACGGCACAGCTCTCAACGACCTTGCTTCACTCACTAGCTGCGAACCATCCTTGTTGCCCTCAAGTCTGGGGCTCTGGCATCCGCCAGGGATCGCTCTCTGTCTCTCCTTTGGGCCTAGCACGGTCCAAGCTGTATCTCTTTGGCCTAGCCGATTGGGGCTTTGTGAACCAACTGATCCACCCCAGATCAATGTTGTGGCACAAAGAGGGAATCCAAATCCCATCAATTCGAGAGTATACTGGATTCACTCAATGGGTCACTGATTTTCTACCTGCGACCTACTTCTGGCTTACAGAGCTGATACACATCGCTCATTTCAGTGACTGCAGGGGCAAAGTGATCAGACATGATCAGACAGTATGTCCCACCCTTCCTGGCCGGGCATGTTGCGGCGAAACCAAAGGCAAGTTTAAAGTGGTTACAGTACTTGAGAGACGCTTTGCCTCTAAAGCTTCAGGACCCCAGCGCCAGAGCTGGCAGCACTAAAACCTCCTCGGCAAACCTCTCTTCGCTCATAAGTGTCTGGCTCGCACTGCTCAGCCCAGAGGCTTTTAAAGACCGCAGTGCCTCAGAGAGATCAACTTGGAAATGGATGCGACTCAAAACAGTTCGTCTATGGTTTCTTAACGCCTAAGCATCAGAATCACAATAAAGCGATTGCATTAGGACAGCACAATATAATATAAATCAAATAGAAAGGTCTGACAGCATTGAGCACCAAGCGCACTCCATGTGGCATCCCTGCCAAGTGAACCACCTCGGCGGCTTCAAGAAAGCACCGGAATACATCTACGATACATTCCATATCCCATCTTATTGACCGACTACGTCAAGTTTCCCAAAAAGTCTAGGAACCAAATGATGAGTGCGAGCCCTTCTTCAAGGAAGTTTGAGCTATCCTGCGTCCAGTTAGTAGTAGCATCCTAGTAGCTAGGAGCGGGCAGGCCACGGCAAACAAAAAAAGACAAGACATATAAACATGTGTGTATATTATATATATATATACATACAAATAACAACAATAATAACAATGATGATAGTTCAAAAAAACATGCTGAGAGCAGTCCACAAAGCACACCCTGAAGTCGCAAGACCTGCCCAGTGCTGAGCTCTGTAGCTGGCTGCCTTGACGCAGGCGCAGCAATGGGATTGCTAGACCTAGGCCGAAGAAGAATAACACCTAGACGAAAAAAAAAAAAAAAACATAAATTCTGAATTGAGAGATAGAAAACAAAAAGCATTAGAAAGTTTCTTAAACCAAGGTGGTGAGAGCCTTTAACGAAACCCAAATATCTGGTGGTTTTACTGTTTGTCTGTCACTCCATTTCACTGACACATAGGAACTCACTAAACAAGACACACTTTCTGAGGGAATGCCGCTTGGCGTCAGGCTCACTGTTGAGAAAGCCTGCAGGAAGCAGAATGAGCCGGTCAAGGCCTCAGCCATCAGAAGCATCTATCATATCATATCCAAAGGACGTTTTCTGTTTTCAGCCAGCAAGCCTTGAGTGTTCATTTCTCCAGTTTATGAATTTCGCTGGCATTCCGAGTTTGACGATTGCTATCAGCGGCTCTGCTTTCTCAAAAAAGTATATACACTAGTCACCAAAAATACCACTGTCGAACAGGCTTCAAAGCAGGAGGTTCAAACGGATCCCGGGGATGTTCCAAGTCATCACACAGAACAGGGAGTTGTATTTCCAAGAGGCCGGCATCCATGAGCATTGGTCGTGAGTAGGTCTTCCAAGACCTTGCAGCAAAATTGACATGTGACAAAGTTGGTGATACATTCACAAGAAGGGATCGATCTGTCACGCGTGGTCGCAAACTTGTTGCCAATTTCGTGTGGCATTTGCAGTGTTTCCAGATACCCGCAGGGCTACTGAGGAGAAGCAACAATACTTGGCCGTAGACTTTCGTGCATGTTTGGGTCCGAAGATGCTGTTGCATAGGGTCTAAGGCACCAAGATGATGCCACACGCAGAGTTACAAAATGTGTTGGTTTCGCATGTGAGGGGTTGGGTGGGGGGGTTAAAGACTTTCGTTTGGAGGCGCTTCCTAAGATAGATCACCTTGGAAGCAAGCAAGCCAGCCAGCCAGCCAAGTGCTACATACAAATAAAGGTTCGTCAGACTTGGTCATACTTGCTGTCAAATCCCTTTTCCTATATTATACTGTATAAATTTGCAAAAAGAACTTACTTAAAACAAAAAAAATGGAAACGCGCATTCCAAACACGCGGCTGTGTGGTGTTACCTTGTTTTTCGTGGGTTGCTATGGTGTTGATGATGAGAAACAAACTAGCCATTCGATTCTTGAAAGTCGGTGACAAATGATTCATTTGAGTCAGCTTCACAGCGGGAAATATGGCAGCCTCTTGCTCATTCCGGCTCGAGTCTTGATCAAGCGCCTTGCATGCTTCTTGTTAGGGAGAACGAACTGCAGCAATAAAGCCATGCATTCCTTTCAATCGCATTGCACCAACTTTGAAATGAAGTGTCCTTTGGAAAGTGCCACTCTTGGTGAGAGAATCCAAGAGATATCCTAGGGCAGTCTTCCTCAAAAAAATAAGCGAAACTGATTCATCCTGATTCCGATCTGCTACGCTACACACACCAAGAAATTAGTGTGCTCGGTACTGTCCAAAGCTTCTGATGCAAACCTTGAAGGAGTATTCTGCTTCCACACGCCTGCCACCAGGTCTCCAACAGCCTCAAGGTCCACTGGCTCCGGCGCCTAGGGGTAGTATGGTGCCCTGACACAATTGTGGTACTTCAAAATCTTCAAGGATTGCAACCACAACTTCCTAGAAAAAGCGATGCAACAAAATATCACAATCAAAAGCAACTCTGCAGACCTACCTGGCTCACTTGGCTTTTGGCCACAGACCGGTTCCCATGTTGCTCAACCTGGACGTGCCAGCGAAGCCCGACCTGGCAGATCTCTAGCGATGGCCTCCAAGTACGCCTTCATTTTGCTCCACACCAAAGCAGCTGGAATCATTCACTGGTTCCACTGTCAACAGCGGACACACAGGCCAAAGCAATGAAAAAGCTTGAGCATGCGAGTCGTGCCGACATTCTGTCCAAATAGTTTGCGGCTGACTTGGGTACCCCAGCTCATCGCGGCTCAAAATCACCTCGACCTTCTCACCATAGCGTTGGATGGTCTCCAGCAAAGCCTGGTGCCAGTCGTGGCTCAATTTTGAAGTACTCAATGTGGTGCATGCAACACAAACGTTTCTATCGTTCACCAGCTTTGATCGCACAGCTCAATCATTGGGGCTTCCGGCATCCTCTCCGGAGAAATCCACCAAAGCAGCATCACAGTCAAGGTGAAAAATCCAGTCCACCTCACAGCAAGAGTGCCTCCTGCATGTTTTGAAGGGAAAGCAAGTAAAAAGACCCTCATGTCCATCGTCTCCAAAGCTGGATGAAGCAGTAGCCGAAAAAATTGTTCTAGCGGCCCCTAGCAGTTCAGCTCCCTAGTAATTCCCCGTGTCCAAAGGCCACAATCTTTACTGCTTCCCTTTTTGGTCTATGACATCTTCTGCCAATGCCTTCCTCCTCCTTCAAAACTGCCACATTGGAAAGAAATTCATTGCCCCACCAAGCTCCCAAAAAGACCGTGCACAATGTCGCTCAGATAGATGATAGATCCACAAGATCCTCCATCATACAGATCCCTCCGGTGCTGTTTGTAGATGATCCTGCGACATCCTCATGGAGTCCTTGGAAAGCAAGTGAACCTGGCCCAGCCTGCTGGCCTCCTCGCTCGCTTCCTTCATGACCTGCCCAGAAAAGTACAACTGTGTTCGGAACCGTACTTTAAAAAGTCCAACATGTGGGAACTCTTGAGCGAAGCATATGCGAATGATACGTGGCTGATCAGCCAGAGCAATTGTGTGAAATGTTGGCTTGGACCAGAGAAGCAATGGGAGGCAACTGAGGTCAAGTACCCTTGTAAACGACTTGGATTTACCTGTCATACCTCACTTCTTGCTGTGCTCCGCCAACCACCAACCACCAACCCAAGTGGCCTCCAACACCGCCCGGACGTTGCCACCGCGCCACAGATCGGAGCTGCGAAGGTATTCACCGGCCGTGAGGACGTACCTCGCTGGGTTGGCCGTGAAGGTTGGTGGAAGTCGCGAACTTAAAGTTACACGGCGAGTGGCCCTTGAGCGTGGATACACGAGCGCGCCAGTACTTAGGTGCACTGTAATTGTACATCATAGGAAGGTATGTGAAGCACCCCATTGAACGGCCTCCTACGATATACCGTGAATGGCATAGGTATGCCTGGCTGTCAGAGGAAATTAGTAGATCTATATGGTCTAGCTTGGCCACACGGTGTGCCATAAGTAGATACAACAATGTATATAACACCAAGCATCGTTTGCGCCGCCCATTCCTTCCCCTGATGACCTAATGGCACGGACTCAATCAAATTCACTTTCCACCGAGGCCTTGCAAAACCGCATGGCAACGCAACATCACAGACGTAGCTTGGCCACACAGTGCGCACGAGACTAGGTACAGCTTAACACCAAGCCTCGAGGACACTGCCTTCAACTTCCACCTTCGGTCGATACTTCTGACGACAGTTACACACTTCGGCAACGAAATTCTCATGGCGCCTCACGTTTGAACACTCGACATGCACTTCATCCGGCTCCAGACTTCGCATTGTGCATTCGCATTTCGCCTCGCACTCGACACACACGATCTCTGCAGAGGGTCACGCTTCGCAAGCCCTGTCCGGCCAGGCCCCCGCCTAAGAAAGAATAGATAGAGAGCCGAGATGTGTCACACACGCGCGAACAAACACATGTGTTCCTCTTTGTTTTAACATATGTTTACTTTTGCATATGTGTTTACTGAAGCAAGACCCCAGTGAAAAATAATACTTGACTTTGCATATGTCTTAAGCAAAACCCCAGCAAAAAATTACTTCACCTTTGCATATACTTTACTTACGCAAAACCTCAGCGAAACTTATACTTCACCTACGCAAAAGATTTCGGTGGGACGCAGGATAGCTCACGCTGCTATTCATTTGGTTCCTAGATTGTGAGGGAAACTTAACCTTGGATGTTTGTGAGTAGCAGCTCGAGGGGGAGGAGGAATAGCAGCTCACTTGTCAGTTGTTGTACAAAATTCTATCCTGTACGAATTGTAGTACTTCTTGAGGGCTGAAACTTGGACCATGAACTGGTGCACTTGGTGAAATCACAAGATCAAAGCCCTTCGGCAAGCACGGCTTGGCCTGTGGTCCAAGCGCTTTGCCCACCGTGCATTTACTACTGCGGTGTACCTCAAGAGCTTGCCCAGCACGGACGACCCAAGAATCATTCCCGTTGGATCGTCGAGGCCCAAAAACCGGTCACACCCAACTGACAGGTTGGTGATCTCAGAAATGCAGACATGACAGTGTTGATGATCTGATACATAGACACCTCAAGCCTTAGAACACGTGGAATGGCCTCCAAAAAGATTTTACATGGATCCCACGCAGTTCTAACTTCTAAGGCCTTGTATTCTTCAGTTCATGATGACAATGTGTGCAGCCTGCTGATGAGCCAAGCGGTGTGGTTCGGAGTTCTCTGATGAAAAGGCGCACTGGCAGAAGGAATCCCACAAATTGCTGGTTGCCAACTGCATCACCAAGACCTCGCAAGTCTTCCACTGCTCCGGAGAACAGAAAGCAAGCGAATTGAGACTTGACGATTGGGATCCTGGTGGTGCTCGACGCCCTTTGGTGGCCTAGTAGCCTCCTCTCATCCCACATTGCACGTGGCTGTGCTTGTAAAGCCTCACACTTTGGTCCACTCTTGAGCCCCACTCAGCTTCACACTCTCGTCTTGCTCGAGCTTGCTGCTCCTGTACAAATCTCAATGCAGCCCTCACAAGCACCAATGGTCTCAAGTCCAACGTTGTGCAAAAGCGCTGATGATGTAGAAGAAGGTATGTATATAAGCGTTCGGTCCGAACTGCTCCAAAGAAAGTCAGACTTGTTTGGTTCATGTCCAAGCAAAAATCAGGAACACGGTGTTTTCCCGTATGTTGACGGTCTTTTTGTATGCTGTAGGCAGGACCAGTCAAAGCCGGGACTTCATTATCTGTTTCCCGATGGCTTAATCTGTGAGCAAACAAGGACATCGGTCTTGGATGTTTGCACGACATTCCCAATCGGTACACTTCCTGGCGCCAGTGGAGGAGATGTCGCATTGGCGCAGTGGACAAGGCTGCCTGCGGACCGTCACGTGACAGCGGATCGAGTAACTCGGTCATTGTGATCACCGAATAGTCTGCAAAAAACTTGACGATGATTAAACGGGCAGATGCTCGGAGCAAATTCCAGCTCAGCTTGTGCATGCGACGGTGAATGGTCTAGGCTTGAGGCAGTTGTATATCTACCAGCAAACACTGCAGTTGGAGATCTCATGAACTTCTGAAGCTTCTTTTGCATCCCTTTGTGAGTTCGGTTCTTGCAACAAGGAGTGATCAAAGGGACTCTAGCGCTGCTCGTCTGCACCTGTGGCTTGGTTCTCCTGAATGAGCTGCAATTCCCCACATTGCATATCACAAACTCAATTTTGGCAGGTACGCGTGCAAAGCCTAGCCTTCGTGTTTCACAGGGACAGCTCAAATTTCCCGAGTCAGGACAGCACAGGCTTCAAATGTCAAAGGCTGAGCTACGTCGTAGAGGAACCTTGTGGAGCAATGCTTTGACCCTCAAAGTCTTGTGGTGGAAATGTGTATCAGCAGCACCGTCTCTTGTGGGAAGGTCCAATATGGTCCAATTAGATTCAAGCTGCCGACCACTCCTGCACTGTTTTCATCGAAACAGCCTTCGAACACCCATCTCCTCGCAGCAGGGTGTCGAGCTAGCTGCCGACACCAAAAGGCAGAGTCGCCTGCAAAAGATCACTGTGAGATCTTCTGGCTCTTCAGCTTTTGGATCCTTCATCAATCATGATCAATGCTTGAGCAATGTGGCAAAGCGTGTCAAACGATCGTGTGCTGGTACGCTAGCGCTAGCAATGCATGATTGTCCCAGGAACAAAGGGCATCGCTACTAGGAGCAAGGACGCTTAGTAGCTCCTGGCCTTACGGGCATCGCTACTAGGAGCAAGGACGCTACTAGGGGCTCCTGGCCTTACTACTAGGAACAAAAAGCTATTAGTAACAAATCCGCTCATGTGCTCTGAAGATCCGCTCGGCCAGCACTCTCCCAGCCTGAGGATGGTGCTGTGCCGGCTGCGACGGCTGTGCTGGCCCCCCATGCAGACCTCGCAGGCCAAAGCAGGACAAGACTTGCTTGTGGGAATGTATGGACCTCACGGATGTGCTTCAAAGTTCACGACTACCCTCCGGAGAGTAGCCAACTAGAAGCCAAAAAAGAATGGTTCCTTGCAAATAGTAGCCTGTTGCTCTTCAGCCACAGGATTGCTCCTCAAGTCACCAGCACATCACAGGATTGCCTAGCTATGGTTACTGGCTGCGATGCACCTGCGTCCGAGTTGTTGCATCCGAGTCGGATGTGTTCACAAGCACTATCAAGCAAACGTCACAACATTCACGCAAGTTCGACAAGCATCCGCAAACCACTTTTGATTGACCCAAAAATTAGGCAGAATTTCTGCCACTGTGCTCCGGGCATGGACGCAGGGATCATGGCACAATGTTGTGAAAATCTGAGTGTGAAAAGGTGGCCAACAATCGAAAACTAACCAAATAGCTATCTGAAAAGCCCTTGTTTGAAGGCTGTTCTTGTGCATGAGGAGTGTGGCGAACATCCAATGTCAGCATGGGTGAGCAAAGGTCCAGGTTGTCAGTCTAGTTGAACATTTATGGTATCCATCAAGCTTGAGGTAGATCGGATGGGCATTTGGCTGCAGAGTTCCTGTCTATCAACTTTGAGTTCATGGAGATTCACTTGTGAACAAATTACCCTAGACTTTCGCTCGACAAAGACCACCAAGAAAACTCCCGCGTTGCGGAACTAGCAACTACCAGTAGCCCCTGATGAATATGTGGGCTTTTCTGAAGAGACATACAACCCTCGAATCATGCCGTTGCAATCCGTAAGCTGCTTATGCATACTGGTAAGACAATCTTGTATGTAACGTTGTCCAAAAATGAGACGCTTGGTCTGCCCTGGCTTTGACTTCCGCCTTGGCACCGTCCTCATAGAACTCCACAGAAGCAACTTCCACGCTCCCAATCATCTCAGTCTCCAGCACCTGCAACTTTAGACTTAACATGACTTTAACACTGTCTATAAGCCACGAGGGATTGTCTCACAAACTGCCAAAGCTCTGACACAAAAATCATTGTTTGCACACCCTCCTCATTCTACTTCCTGCCCTCCTGCCCTCGCCACAACACTTGAGGATCCTGCCGAACTCTTTTCTGGATTCGCCGGTGGGAGACACATCCAGTCGTTGAGAACCCAAGGCTTCGAACCTTCCAACTTTCGATACACAGCGAGGTGCACTAAAGCACAGTCGAAGCTCTGGTCCGCAACAAGCCATTCCACTGGTGCGAGCCATATAGTCTCAGTGGGCGATATAGAGAAGCGGCAGCAGGGCACCAAGATGAATCCAAGAGCGCGGTAGCGTGCCAGACTTGGGCTCATTGTCCACTGTCTTGTTGTTTCTGCAGTAGATATATTCCTTGGCACATTGGAATGACTCACGTTCCGGAGGCACAGACTTTGAGTCTGTGCTGGTCACACCCAACCAAGAGGTGTCTCCAGTGGCAAACATTCAGTGGCAAACATGGTCTGAGTCTTCGTGATCTTGTTTCTCGCCAGGACGCGGTGTAAGGCCTCAGCTCACCCCAGCCCTTGAAGTTCTCTGTGTGCCCTGGGACGTCGCTGATCAGCTTGCAAATGTCGCCCTCCAAGCGAAGACCCACCTCCAGCCGGTCGCCAGTGAACCACAATGGCTGGAAAATTGCACATGTGAGATGTGGATGTTTGCATGTGGCGGCCCTTACAAAAGATTGCGGGATGTAGGAGGGGAAGAGTCTAGTAGCGTCCTTGCTCCTAGCGCTGCCCTTTCCTCCTAGTAGTTTCTTGGTCCTAGTAGTAAGGCCAGCAGCACCTAGTAGCGTCCTTGCTCCTAGTAGCGATGCCCTTTGCTCCTAGTAGCTTCTTGTTCCTAGTAGTAAGGCCAGGAGCGCCTAGTAGCATCCTCGCTCCTAGTAGTTTCTTGTTCCTAGTAGTAAGGCCAGGAGCCCCTAGTAGCGTCCTTGCTCCTAGTAGCCAGGCAGCCATGCCCTTTGCTCCAAGTAGTTTCTTGTTCCTAGTAGTAAGACAAGGAGCCCCTAGTATCGTCCTTGCTCCTAGCTTCTTGTTCCGAGTATTATGGCCAGGAGCCCCTAGTAGCATCCTTGCTCCTAGCTCTTTGCCCCTAGTAACAGTAGCTTCTTGTTCCTAGTAGTAAGGCCAGGAGCCCCTAGTAGCAT